GTACACGAGCTCTTCACCATCTCCTATAATAGTATAGGAGGTAAAAGCATTTTTTGTTTTTACAAATATGCTTGGTAGCCCCGGAGTCTACCACCCACTCATTCACATCACTAGTTTTGCAACATTGAGAAACAACCGCAATAAAATTATCATCATTACAAACCAAGTTAGTGGGTTGTTGTTTTCCATAGTTGTCATTTTACCATTACATAAATGAATAACATTTTTCTTAAAAAATGGTGTTAAAGTATGGCTTATTGTAAGTAGGAAAATAAAGAGAGTAAACATTATACATAGAGATATATCCAAATACCAGTCTAAATCGCACCACACATGCAAAAATAGCATAGCCGCGATGAGTGCGACGACAACACTTTGTGAGATCATGCGCGCAGGCATATTCGACGCTAACTACTTTCTTGAGATTGTTGATGGAAATTGGTTGGCTGCAAAAAACGTTAGAAAATAATATAGCTCGAGGCGCATAAACGCTGTCCTCAAGAAAGTATTTCCGACTAGCGAAAATCTTTCCCCAAGATAAAACGAACTCTTTTGCGTAAGCCGGTAACAGAACAACGAGAGTAGAAAATTATTAATCCAGCAGACTGAAAATATTAGGGGATGTTTAGCTCCAAAATTAATCTTTTTCTCTTAGCCCTCTTAGCATGGCCGAACACATCTATTTATATACACATAATAAGTTGAACGTTGCTGCATGCTCGAGTGGAACGTTGAGTACTAAGTACTAACGTTCATATTGACAAATATAATTAATGTTGAATTCAAAGTTGAAAAATTCCTCCCACTAACTCTTAAAGCCGTTAGGAGTAAGTATTATTATTTAATGATATTAATTCTATATCTTGCTAGTAGTAACATGCATGGCTAAGGAGGAGCAATCCATTTGAAATACTTCAAATTTTCCAACAGGTTGTTGGGGGTACACTGGCGGCAGGCTGTTGGATGGGCTGGAAGGCAGACCGTCTTGGACTTCCACTCCTCGATGAGCTTGATCGATTGGGCCGCCTCTAGCGCTGGGTCACTGAGCTTGGGCCTGCTGGTCCAAGTTCGGAGCCTGGATCAATTAAGCAAGAGTTTTCTTCGTCTTTAATTTGTGCCCGATCAAAGCAAGAGTTTATAAGTACTTCGTATTTATTTAGTGAAGAACGAATGAGCTAACTATTTTCTACTTTCCCCACTCAGTAAAATTTTGGTGAAATTCGACTAACACATTCAAAAAAGTAGAAGCAAGTTTATGATTTGGGTAGAGTATAGAAAAATAATAGTCTACCTAAAGTGTAAAACTAAATACAAAATGCTAAGATTTTAGAGACAGCTGTGTGATTTTGTAAAGAAAGTTGATGATGAACTTTAAGTAGAGACTATTTTTCTTTGAACGTGTCAAACTAACGCTACTTGGGTATAGGGACGCTACTTTGAACGGAGTAATACACATTTTTTCCTCCTTTAATTCTCGATCATTTAGCTGAAGAAAGGGCACCATCGAAGCCGGCCTCGATCACGACCCCATTTTTACTTGAAAAATTTGCAACAAGAATGGCACAACATAAGAGCATATTTATTACTATTGCCATACTTTTAGTCGGTGTTCTAGCAGCAATCGTTGCAATACGCGCAGGATTGCTAGTTCAAACAAACACAAGGGTAACTACTGATCTGGTTTATTTATTGTACTCCCCGTCCCGTTAAGATTGTCGCCTCATCTTTCCTTTTAGGTATGTCCGTTAAGATTGTGTCATTCTGAATTTGGTAAAAATTTGTGTGGTTCTAAATTATTCTTCTTAATTTTTATTTTATCAATTCAATGTCAATCACGTAAAATCATCACAATTGGATATTTGCTATGCATGATTTAATTGGATAGTAATTGATGATTTTAATTAGTTATTTTTTGCCAAAAAATGAATATAATTAAATTGTTTTGCAAAATATTTTCAATTTCGGACGGTGGTGTTGCGGTGTGATGCGGTTCCATTGCAGTTCCATTGCAGGTTTCGCATGTGATTCGAAAAACAACGGTATAGCAGCTTACAGTGGTTGCACCGCTGCCCACGATCGCAATATGTGATGTGGTCAACTATTTAATACTCTAATAGCAAGTTAGCAACATATCTCCTACTTATATAAAGACTTTTGGTTGTGCACGAGTATAACACCTATCATTATTGGGTCGACTGAGTCATCATGACTTACTCCTCCACATTCTCTCGCGTCGGGGTGTGAAGATTCCTTGAACAATATAAAATTTCCCGGATAACCGTCTCAAATTTCCGGTTTCCGTTATGTCTATTGAAGCATCATAATTATTATTAATCTTATCATGTATTCTTAAACTAATAGCTAACTGCTGTACGTATTTATCTCCCTAATTATAGCTAGGTATACTTATCTCAACAACCCATACATGTATATAAATACTCATCCATGTACGTTAAATGATATATGAAAAACATTCATATTCATACTTTATATGGTATCTAGAGCCAGCCTCATACGAGCATCATTTTTTTTCCTAATGGCCATTACCACCGCCACCCCGGTGATCCAACTCACCGCCACCACCAATTTCCCAATCAAACTCACATCCTCAAATTTTCCTGTCTGGAAATGTCAAGTTCACGTCGCTCTTGTCGGCCTCGGGCTTGAAGGCTATGTTGATGGCACTATTCGTGCTCCTGATCAATTTTTGGACGATGCCAAATCTCGACTAAACCCCTGCTACACCATTTGGTATCGTCAGGACAAAGTCATTCTAAGTGCGTTGCTTGGAAGCTGCTCCGACACAATCCAACCTCTGCTTCAATCGGTCTCTAGTGCTTATCATGCATGGGAAAAATTAGCTGTCACATATGTTAGTACTTCTCGCGGACGCATCATTTCCCTCAAAACCACCATGGCCAAGACCACTAAGGGTAACCGATCCATACTTGAATATTTGGCCGAAATGACGGCAATTGCGGACGCCCTAGCACTCGCCCAAAATCCTATTTCTGAGGAAGATCTTGTAATCAACGTTCTCAAGGGACTTGGACCGGAATATGGTGAATTACGGTCTGCTATTCGGATTCGTCAAACTGCACTAACCATGGCCGAACTTCAATCCATTTTACTTGAAAAAGAACAAGACATAGCAGAGGCAGCAGAGGCAAATTCATCTCTTATTCCCACTGCAAATGCAACCCAGATGGCTGAACGTACGTTGTCATCTCATTTTCATAATGAGCGCCATGCATCAGGTGTCAATCGCCGTAGTGGGCCAACACGCATGGGCAGAGGTGGACCACCCCACTACTCCACGCGAGCGTCATCATCTGGTCAAATTGTTTGCCGATTTTGTGACAATCTTGGTCACACCGTGCAACAATGTCGAAAGCTCCAGCGGTTTCTTCGAGATAATCACATATCATACGCTCCGACTAATACTAATCCGACGGTCAATCATGTGGCTACTCAGTCAATCCAACCTGACCAATCATGGATGTTTGACAGTGGGGCATCCCACCATGCCTATAATGATGCTGCCCGTCTCCCTCAGTTTACAGAATATGGTGGTCCAGATGAAGTTCGCCTAGGTGATGGTAAGGCACTTAAAATCACTCATACTGGTTCATCTACCCTCACTACACCCACCCGTACTCTCTCCCTCTCTCAAATTCTATGTGTGCCTGATTTAAATAAAAATCTTATTTCCGTTGCAAAATTATGCAAAACTAATAATGTCTCCGTTGAATTTTTCTCTACTCATTTTCTTATCAAGGATCGGGTCACGGGGGCGCCACTTCTGCGCGGGGAGAACACTAATGATGTTTATTATGCACCAATATCTCAAGGACCACAAGTCAATCTTACTCAGCGTCTAGCTCCGTCTCAATGGCATCACATTCTGGGTCATCCATCACGTCGTGTTTTTGATTATATCGTTAGTCATAATAAAAGTTTAATTTCTTGTACCTCTTCCAGTTCATTTCATTGTATGTCTTGCTCCATTAATAAAAGTACCAAATTACCGTTTTCTACCAACTCTATGAGTGCAAATCGTCCTTTGGAACTTATATATAGTGATGTTTGGAGTACGTCTGAAAAGTCCGTTGATGGTTTCAACTATTATGTCATTTTTGTGGACTATTTCAGTCGTTACATCTGGATCTATCCTATTAAACATAAATCAGATGTCTCCAGTGTGTTTCCACAATTTCATCACCTAGTCGAAAAATATTTCAATCATAAAATTATCACTCTTTTTTCTAATAATGGCGATGAATTTATTAAACTGCGTCCCTACCTCAATACCCATGGAATTTCACATATGACCACCCCCCCTCATACACCTGAACACAATGGGTTGGCTGAGCGGCGGCACCGGCATATTGTTGAAACCGGACTTTCACTATTACATTATTCTGGTCTTCCGATAAAATATTGGTCCTATGCTTTTCAAACGGCGGTGTATTTAATAAACCGGCTCCCCACGCCGATCCTTGACAATGACACTCCTTACTCTCGTCTCTATAATAAACCTCCAAATTATACCAAATTAAAACCGTTTGGATGTCTGTGTTACCCGTGGCTCCGTCCGTATTCACAAACCAAAATATTCACTAGTCGGCATGTTCAATTTGTTCCAGAAATATACCCATTTCGTAACATGCAAACTAATTCATGCAAACCATGCATGGGTTCCACTCGTATACCCACGTGTTCCCCGCTACCTCCTACTTCTTTGGTACCCACTACACAAATTTCTCCTCAACCTATGCTAACTCATCCTGATTTACCGGGCCCTCCCCACTCAAATTCAAATTTAAATCCATCCTTATCCCATCCACCGAATGCATCTCTGCCTCCACCATTTCCCACTAACCAACCCCACCTATCCAATCATCTTATCATGAATCAAATTATAACACGGGCCCACCCATATTATCAAACCCCAGTCAAAACAATTTGGCTACTTCTATCACCAACCATACCGACCCACCATTGCCAATTTCACCACCACCTCACCAAGTCTCTCCTCCTTCTCCACATATACCTCCCTCACCGCCACCGGAGACCTCACTTCACACATCACCTCCTACCCAATCTCAAAACCCACCGCATACCCCACGTCCCACTCGTAATCGACATCCAAATCCCAAATATTTTGGGAGTCCATTTATAAACCAAACCACCACTCACCCCATATTACCTACCTTAGAACCTTCGAGTGTGAAAGCTGCCTTAGCGGATCCAAGGTGGCGTCTGGCGATGGAAGAAGAAATGAATGCACTTAGACGGAATAACACATGGACATTGGTTCCACGTACAACTCAAACACCTATTACTTGCAAATGGCTCTTTCGTATAAAGAGGCATGCAGACGGTAGTATTGCCCGCTTCAAGGCACGCTTGGTTGCAAGAGGTTTTCTTCAACAAGCTGGACGTGACTATGCAGAAACATTTAGTCCGGTTACTAAACCGGCTACCATTCGGGTTATCTTGTCTATAGCTCTATCTCGTCAATGGCCTCTACGTCAATTGGACGTAAATAATGTGTTTCTCCATGGCTCTCTCTCGGAGGAAGTTTATATGGTGCAGCCACCCGGATTTCGAGATCCCTCTCACCCCACGCATGTGTGCCATCTCCAAAAAGCCTTATACGGTCTTAAACAGGCGCCTCGTGCGTGGTATCTTGAATTATCTCATTTTCTTATTTCTGCAGGTTTTCGGCGGTCAAAGACAGATGCTTCATTATTTATATTCTCTCACGATAATATTCTACTTTATTTTCTGGTCTACGTTGATGATATAGTGAACACCGGAAATCATTCAGCTGCCCTGGAGAAATTTATTCATCAACTCACGTGCCGGTTTTCTGTTAAAGATCTTGGACTACTTCATCACTTTCTTGGAGTTGAAACCATTCCACACCCTGATGGCCTGTTTCTTACTCAACGCCAATACATTTTACATATCCTTGAGGAGTATCATATGGATGGAGCTAAGGAGGCAGCCACGCCCATGAGTTCCAGCTCACCTCCTCAACTTACTCATGGCACAGACTCAGTGGACTTTACCAAATATCGGCGAGCTCTTGGCCTACTTCAATATTTGGCATTCACAAGACCCGACATCTCATTTGTTGTCAATCGCTTATCTCAATTCATGCATACCCCCAAGGATGTACACTGGCAGGGAGTCAAACGTAAGATACCTCAAAGGTACTTTGAATTATGGACTTTTTTTGAAACGTTCCTCACCACTTACACTCACTGCATTCTCAGATTCGGATTGGGGGTATCCATGATGGGGGGAAATCTACCACAGCGTATGTCTTGTATCTTGGTACTAATATTATTTCATGGAAATCTGTCAAGCAAAAATCGGTGTCTCGTTCCTCTACGGAGGCCGAATATCGAGCCGTTGCTCATGCTAGTACTGAGATTCTATGGATTCGGAATCTGCTCACTGATTTGGGTATCAAATTGTCTCATCCACCACACCTGTTGTGTGACAATCAAGGAGCTACGTATGTGTGTGTCAATCCTGTATTCCCTTCTCGCATGAAGCATGTCGCTGTTAGAAAATAGAAGAGGTTGTTGGTTGTATGAGTAGAATAAGTGATTTTAGTGAGGTGTAATGTAGATGATGTGTTTTAGAGGAGAGCTCTTGTCTCTAGAAAAGTAGTATTGTATTGATGTTTCTTGGTTTTGCTTGATTTGAAAATGAGTACAATGAGTCCTATTTATAGGAGCTAGAGGATCATTCTAGATCCTTATTAAATGCTATGATTCTAGAGTATTCTACATCTATGTCTAATTACTCTAGATTTTACATAAGAATTCTCTAGTAGAGAATTTTCTAGAATACTTTCTACCTTTAACTCTCTAGATCATCTCTAGCCTTTTCTACATAGAATATTCTAGATAAATGCATCACTATTTAATACTCCTCCTTGATGCATTTGTCGGTGACTCCAAGCATTCTTCGCAGAAACTGGAATCTGTCTCTTGGCAGGGCCTTCGTGAAAATATCTGCCAATTGTTCTTCTGTTGGGCAGTACTTCATCTCAATATGCCCCTTTGCTTGGACATCTCTCAAGAAGTGATACTTGATATCGATGTGCTTAGTACGATTGTGCTGAATTGGATTTTTAGCCATCGCAATAGCTGACTTGTTGTCGCAAAATATTTGAGTCGCAGAACTTTGCAATTCACCCATGTCTTCTAATATTCTTTTTAGCCATATAGCTTGGCACGCTGCTCCGGCTGCTGCAACATACTCGGCTTCGGCTGAAGATAGTGCAACAGAATCTTGCTTCTTTGATCCCCATGAGAAAATTCCCGAACCCAGCTTAAATGCGTAACCGGAGGTGCTTTTCATGTCATCTTGAGATCCAGCCCAATCACTGTCGCTATATCCAGTTAGTCGTGAGTCAGGAGTTGTTTTGTACCAAATACCATAATTGATGGTTCCTTGTAGATACCTAAGGAGTCTCTTTGCCGCTCCATAATGAGTCTCAGTTGGACTTTCCATGAACCTCGAGAGCAAACTTGTAGCATACATGATGTCCGGCCTCGTAGCCGTTAAGTAGAGTAGACTCCCAATCAAACTTCGGTAATTGGTTGCGTCCGTCTGCTTTGACCCATCTTCTTTCTTCAATTTTTCATTAGGAACCAGTGGAGTAACGACGGCTTTGCAGTCTTGCATTTTAAACTTCTTTAGCATGTCCTTAATATATTTTTCTTGAGATAAGAATATGCCTTCTTCTTCTTGACTTATCTCCATGCCGAGGAAGTAGTGCATTAATCCCAAGTCACTCATCTCAAAAGTGTTCATCATGTCTCTCTTAAATTCTTCAATTAATTTGGAATTATTTCCCGTGACAATTAAGTCATCAACATATAGAGAGACGATGAGAATGTCAGATTTACCTTGGGATTTGATGTATAGTGTAGCCTCGTTCTTACTCCTCCTGAACCCTTGACGGGTGAAGTATCCATCAATCTTGCTATACCACGCTCGTGGAGCTTGTTTGAGCCCGTAAAGCGCTTTCTTTAGACGAAGAACTTTTCCTTCTTCTTTGATGAATCCTTCTGGTTGCTCCACATACACTTCTTCTCGTAGCTCTCCATTTAGAAAGGCTGACTTGACATCTAGCTGATAAATTTTCCATTTCTTCTAAGCTGCAAGAGCTATGAGTGTTCTTATTGTGTCCATCCGGGCAACTGGTGCAAACGTCTCTGTGTAGTCAACTCCCGGTATTTGAGCATACCCCTTTGCAACCAGCCTTGCCTTATGCTTCTGAATTGAGCCATCGGGGTTCAGTTTTGTTTTATACACCCATTTGACTCCAATAACCTCCTTGTTATGTGGAAGATCTACCATTTCCCAAGTATCATTCTTTTCTATCATTTTGATCTCCTCCTCCATTGCTTTAATCCAAACTTTTTCTTTGGAGGCTTCGGTGTAGCTATATGGCTCCAAGGAGCAAAAGTTGCATGTTTCATAGATGTCAGTAGACTCATATAGGTCTGCTAGAGTTCTTACCCGAAGAGGTGGGGACTCTGGCGAGGAGTCGTGATTTCTTGATGTATTAGCTTCAAAAGAGGATCTTGGAGTAGACGTGGGGCTTTGTTGATCGTGATTTTCCTCTTCTGGTATTTCCTCTAGTTGGATAGTAGTTGTCTTTCTTTCAACTTTTTCTGTCTCCCAATTCCAAGAGGCTTGCTCGTCAAACTCCACATCTCGACTTGTCACCAACTTCTTTGTCTCGAGATTGTAGATTCGATATCCCTTGGATTTGGAGCTATAGCCAAGGAAGATGCCCTTCTCTGTCTTGTCTTCTAATTTGTGCCTTTTAACAGAGGGAACATGAATGTAACATATGCTTCCGAAGACCTTCAAATGTTTGGCTGAAGGCTTTTGTCCAGACCATGCCTCAATAGGTGTTTTGTTTAAAACCGCCTTAGTTGGACACCGGTTTAGAAGATAGACTGAAGTATATACTGCCTCTGCCCAGAACGTTTTAGGCATTCCTTTTTCAGCTAACATAGACCTTGCCATCTCCATGACTGTGCGGTTCTTCCTTTCGGATACCCCATTTTGTTGTGGAGTGTATGCTACTGTTAGTTGATGCTCTACACCTTCATCTTCACAGAACTTGTCAAATTCTTTTGAGTTGTATTCGGTACCTCGATCGCTTCTCAACTTCTTGATTTGATGACCACTCTGTTTCTCCACGAAGTTCTTGAATCTCTTGAATATTCTAAAGACTTCGGATTTTTCTTGGAAAAAATACACCCATGTCATCCTAGAGTAATCATCGATGAAGAGTATGAAGTACCTGTTCTTCGAAACTGAAGGCGTGCGCATTGGACCGCAAACATCGGTGTGGACAAGCTCTAGTATCTGTTTGGCTCTCCATGTCTTTTCTGTTGGAAATGGTTGCCTGTGCTGCTTCCCAACCATACATCCTTCACATACTCCTTCTTTTTCATCCAGTAGAGGCATGTCTCTCATCATCTTCTTTAGGTGTAGTAATCTCAAGGCATTGAGATTGAAGTGCCCAAATCTTCGATGCCATAGACTCGTATCACTCAGTTGAGCCACCATCGCCTTTTGTGGATATTGCCATTGAATAGGAAAATTTCTATTATTTCCCATTTTTACTTCAGCAATTTCTTGATTATTATTCTTGTCATAAATTCGGCAAGAATTTTTCTCAAAGTGCAAGGCATATCCACTTTCCATCATTTGGCCAACACTTAGTAGATTTTGTGCAAGGCGTGGCACTAGGAGAACGTTTCTAATAAAGCGCGTACCTTTCTTTGTATCTATGACAATGGTACCTTTCCCCTTTGCCTCCACCAAATCGCCATTGCTCATCTTGACCTTTGTCTTGATAGAGGTGTCTAAGTCATGGAAGATGGTCTCGTTGGATGTCATGTGATTGCTGCACCCACTATCGATGTACCACTCCTCTTCTTTTGCTTCTATGGCTGAGTGACATGCGTAGAACATGTACTCCTTCTCCTTAAAATCTTCAGAATAGTTGGCCTGATAGTTTCTTCTATCTCTGCAATCTTTTTCTTCATGCCCGAACCTCTTGCAATTTCTGCATTGTGCCTTTCCTCGATGGTAGCAATCTTTCTCTAAGTGATTAGTCTTCTTGCATATTTTGCATGGTGGAAAGTTCGTCTTCCTCTCCTTATTGTTAGAATTCCCATCTTTATGTGGTTTAAAGTTTTCACCATTTCTCGAGTGATTCCTTTTAATGTTGAGCTTAGACTGGAAGGCACTTTCTAATGAACTTTCGTGTCGTCTGTTCAGCCTTTGCTCACGTGCTTCTAGCGACCCCATTAATTCAGTGATGGACATTTTTGATAGATCTTTTGACTCCTCAATAGCCGAAACTACTGGATCATATTTTTCAGGGAGACTGATTAGGACTTTCTGGATTATTCTCTCGTCGGTTATGTTTTCTCCAAGAGTTCTCATTTCGTTGACTATATGTATAACCCGAGAGAAATAATCTTTTGCCATTTTAGAATCTCTCATCTTTAAATTTTCGAGCTCTCTTCTTAAACTTTGTAATTTAATAGTTCTAACTTTCTCATTTCCTTGAAATTCCTCCTTAAGAATATCCCAAGCTTCTTTTGCCGTAGTAGCACGAATTATTCTCGGGAAAATAGTATCACAAACGGATTGTTGAAGAAGATAGAGAGCTCTAGCATTTTGATGTTTTTGTTTCTTACGTACCTCGGAAGTTGATGCGTCGTCGCTTCCTTTTTCCGGCATGATGATTCCTTCTTCAACAATATCCCAGAGATCATGTGATTCTAGGCAAGTCTTCATACGGACACTCCAATAGTCATAGCTTTCTCCATTGAACATCGGAGTTGATACCGAGAAGCTTGATGTCGTCATAATGCCCGCTTATGATCGAACAAGCTCTGATACCACTTGTTAGAAAATAGAAGAGGTTGTTGGTTGTATGAGTAGAATAAGTGATTTTAGTGAGGTGTAATGTAGATGATGTGTTTTAGAGGAGAGCTCTTGTCTCTAGAAAAGTAGTATTGTATTGATGTTTCTTGGTTTTGCTTGATTTGAAAATGAGTACAATGAGTCCTATTTATAGGAGCTAGAGGATCATTCTAGATCCTTATTAAATGCTATGATTCTAGAGTATTCTACATCTATGTCTAATTACTCTAGATTTTACATAAGAATTCTCTAGTAGAGAATTTTCTAGAATACTTTCTACCTTTAACTCTCTAGATCATCTCTAGCCTTTTCTACATAGAATATTCTAGATAAATGCATCACTATTTAATAGTCGCCCTTGACTTCTTCTTTGTTCGTGACCTTGTTGAGAGTGGGCAACTTTCGGTTCATCATATTTCAAACAAATTTCAGATTGCTGATATACTTACAAAACCGCTTGGAAAAGTTCCATTTGAAAGGTTTCGGTCCAAGCTAGGAGTTTCCAACGGAACCTCTATCTTGCGGGGGCGTATTGAAGCATCATAATTATTATTAATCTTATCATGTATTCTTAAACTAATAGCTAACTGATGTACGTATTTCTCCCTAATTATAGCTAGGTATACTTATCTCAACAACCCATACATGTATATAAATACTCATCCATGTACGTTAAATGATATATGAAAAACATTCCTATTCATACTTTATAATGTCAAACTTCCGTCTATCTGTTCATACCCTCCTCCGTCTCCAGTCTTCCTTAATCCCCTTTGAACTCGAAACTCATCTTCCATCCACTGCTCTATCGTCAGCCTTACTGTTGAAGCATGTGCTCTCTATGGTTCTCCTTAAA